CATATTATTTTTGTTTATTTTATACATCCATTGCTTCATTCTTGATATAAAATAAATAATAAAATAAAATAAATGTCAAAATTCATGTTGTTTTTTTATTATTTAAAATATGTTTAAAAGATGTTAATAAACATTTAAAAAAATTAAGTAATAAAATCAATGCAACGCTGATCACATGTCTAAAGAAACCATTAGAAAAATAAGTTAAATGTAAATTAATAACTTATTTAACATTCTGGGAACACGTATGGAGGGCCAAATTACTCAAAATAAAATGAAAAGAAAAGAAGAGAAAAGTAAATGACATCCACGAAAGAAAGAAACGAATGGATGAATGAATGGATGCCATAGACTCGATGCTACTGAAAATCTCACACAGAATCTTCATAAGGAAGTTTGGAACATTTTAACTGTGTTTTCATAAGAAATAAACAACATATTCTAGACATTGTTATTAATTATTTTTATAGTGCCATTCAGTCCTGTAACCTGTGTTTTCACTGAAAACCATTAGATTTTCCAGCGGATCTCTACATCAGATGATATTGGCTCGTTTACATGAATGCAATGGTGTTCCCGCATGGCGACCAGCAGGCTTTGCATTTCAGGTCTTAGGGCAACATATCTAATCATACGTAGAGTGCTGAATGGTACAGTACAGCGTCTTGCCTCCTCAGCACATTGGCTCTGACTGGAGAGGGATATATGACCTGCGGCAATGAATGGATTGAGCCATCAGCTCATGTTGATCTCTGCTGGTTATAATTCCAAAATCCATTTACTGTAGCTATACAGCTTTATAGGCAGCATTCACAACAATATACATGCACAGTAATCAGTGAATATTATTCAAAAATATTTAGATCTACTTTATAGAAAATATAAAATATAAATACTGTATTTTGAAAATATCCCAAAATCACCCTGGCCCTCAAGTGATACTCAGTGTCTGTGATCCTCGTTCTGATTGGTGGATTTCACTTCAGGATTGTGGGAAGTGTAGTACTAATGTACCTAAAATTCTGCTACTGGAAATTGAAGTTTCCTTTTTGTCTGATGTCACCAAGGCTTCTTTGTCACAACTGAATCAATTCAATTCAATTTGATCAGATTCATCGCAAGTCCTTTCTCTCTCTCTCTCTCTCTCTCTCTCCGAATAACCAGTTTCACTGGCATTTGGATTACATTACAGAAGTAAATTAGGTTGTGAATTCAGTTTCTTGTAGACTTTAGCCTCACAGAAATCACTCTCAAATCAAGCAGCTTTTCGTTGGAAAACGCATCAAATTTGCATGACCAACTTGAACATGAGAAAAATCTGCATCGGGGAAATGTTTCGCCCTCAATTCAAACTCTTGGATTAGTAGTGAAAGCAAGAGTAAATGTAAATACACCAGGACTCAAAGGACTAATTCACCAAAAAAGGAAAATTTGCTGAATATTTAGTTGGAGAAATGTAGCATTACACGACTTGCTCACTAATGGATCCTCTGAAGTGAATGGGTGCCGTCAGAATGAGACTTCAAACTGGTCATTTTAGCTGGAAGCAGTGGTTTGAAGTTAAAAACAAAAAGAAACATAAAAATTTGTTTCTTACAAACATGCAGCTTTTTGCTTCACAAGACATTAACTGATGGATTGGTGTGGTGTGGATTATTGTGATGTTTTTATCAGCTGTTTGGACTCTCATTCTGATGGCACCCATTCACTGCTGAGCAAGTGATGTAATTTCTCCAAATCTGATGAAGAAATAAAGTCATCCCCATCTTGGATGGCCTGACGGTGAGTCAATTTTATTTTTGGATGAACTATTCCTTTAAGTCGCACAGTCCCAGTCTTGACGTTGATTGATTTCTCTGTTAGTTTGCACTCTCTGACTAGAGTAACCATATGAATTGAGTAAAGCACCCAGCGTTTTTATCAGGCCGCCATGAACCAGAGTGAACTGAGCCCGTCAAGGTCACTGTCTGCCCCTGCAAATTACCTTGGGATAGTGGATATCTTCCCTCATTACTCAGACACAAGATCTGAAGGTAATAGCTCAGAAGAGACGGACTTAGGAGGGAGTGAATGAGATTTTAAGGGGCTTGTATTTCCTTCATCTCAGCTTAGAGACCAAACAGAAACCCAATCATTCCCCTTGAAACAAAGTTTGACTTTGAGAATGGAAGGACATTGCGGAAGACCCGACACAAAAACAAAAGGCCCCGTTCAAGTCAAAGAACCGCATGAAAACCCGATGAAGAACCCGATAGGCTGGCTATCTGGGTAACTGAGGATATATCGATGGTTTACTCTCCAAAATTGCTTGCGTCAGTGCAATGCCTTTAAAATTAACTGAAGGGCTGCTTTTTGCCTCACATTCTGTTTTTAATCAGTGTAGATGGAGCAGTTAAAGTATTCATATTAAAAGGATCTCAATAACTTTAGCTTGTCCTCTGCACCCTTGGCTTCATTACATACAGGTCGGTCAAGGACTGTCCGTCTATAACATGCAATCATTGTAGACTTATGGAAGGAAGGTTTGAGTACTTGTATAACAAATGTATAATTTAGATTATTTAGTCGTTTGACATGTTGTTTGACATGATTAATATTATTATTATTTAAAATAGTTAAATAATGGCTTTAATAATTGATCTGGCCAGTATATCGGTCTATCACCAATTTAAAGTGAAACTGTGGAAACTGTTATTAGAATTTGGGCGAATAAGAAAAATGCATTAGCATTATATCACGTTATATATCAAAGTTATCAGTTTCACTTCATTCATTTTTTTATATCGGTGAAGCTGGTTTTTGGTGTTTTAATATGCATGTGTTAAATTAATTTTCAAAAAATTATATTTTAGGAAGAAAAAAAAGTTTGGCAGATTGTTCAAGCTACTCTTTTACATACATTTAAAGTGAATGGGGATCACTGACAAAATGACAAAAAAGCACTATTTAATCATCATTAAAGTAGCTCGTATATGTCAAATATGTCAAATATTGTGAAATGTCAAAATTTCAAAATGTTCGGAATGTCTAATTTAATTTTTTTTTTTTTTTTTAAGTACAAATAAAAAAATTTAATGTCTTTTTTTGTGGCAAAAAAAAAAAACAATCATGGGTTTTGGAAGAGGATATGACAGAATTTACATATTTGTGTGAACTATTCCTTTAACATGCAGTACTCTCTCCTGCCTTGACTGTGTAATAATAAGGTTTACATATTAATGAGATGCTTGTATACTAATGAAGCTCCATCAGCCTGTTTCAAGGGGTCAGGGGTCAAGCTTTGTTCGCTTGCTGCTAATTACAAAAATTACATGCCGTGCAGGTGAAAATCTGTTTATTTGAGTATTTATTAGGAACTAAAATGAGGTCTTCTGTAGCATAAGAAATTCTCAATGATTCCAGTGATGCATACTTCAAAAATACCATAAGTAGGCACTTTTTGACATTAGGGGGACCAGATATCCCAATAGTTCACTAAAAAGTGTTTGGCTGTTAGGCTCACTGACTTGAAATTAATTAGGATAAGAACAGTGTGCATTGTATGGCTTAGTTTGCACATAATGATAAAAATTTGTCATTTAATAAATTAATTGAAAAAGAAATTCACTAATTTAGCTGCAATAGCACAACTATGAAAAAGGGACAAAAAGTTCCACGGTGTGAACTTGTCCAAACTATCACTTAAAATTTTGCAGAATACATCAGATATTATGCACTCATTTATTAAAAAAAATTAAATAAATAAATAAATCAGGAATTCGTTGTAAAAGTATGCAATTTTATTTATGCATGCACTATGCAAATGTATTTAATGAAACAACAACAACAACAACAAAAGGTTCAAACAGTCCTTAATATCCTAAATACTGTCTCTCTAATATATAGTTGGTTTGCTGAATATGGAGAGAGGAGGAGAACAAAAAACAAGGTCTTTGACAACACTTTCTTTCTGGAACATCTTTCACACAATGTATCTGCTTATTAAATCAGTCTTTTTCTTTTACAGCCGACCAGCGAGGATGATCTCTGCCCGATCTGCTATGCACACTCCATATCAGCCATCTTCAAGCCCTGCTCCCACAAATCCTGCAAGTGAGTTGCTGCCAACATCCTATCAACAGCTCCGTTCTTCCATTCACTCCTCCATTTAAGAGATTAACACCATGCCGTTAAAGGCTTCAATGACCATTACTTATATAGAGCATAAACACTGCCTGAAATACTAAGGACATGTTTCCACTGTTGCGATACAATAATTCCACTATCAGTGCTGGGTGGATTACTTAAAAATTGCAGTCCATTACTGATTACAAATTGCATGATGGAAATTTTAGTTTGTAATGTAATCTATTAGATTACAAACGTTGAGTAATTTATTCGGACTACTTTTGGATTACTTTTAGATTACATTTGGCATAACATGTAACATTACGTTATGCCAGGGTTTCACAAATTACTAATTAATTAAAAAATTCACAAAAACTAATTCATTAAATCATAAAAAATGTCAAATTAAACTAATCAAAACTAATCAACCCACTTTAAAATACAAACAATCGAAATAATCATGAGAACAATAAAAATATAAATATTTTAATTAACAAACATCATTGAACCAAAAAGATTGTGTGGGCACTCCATTTTCTGACTGGTGTGTGCACTTTCATAAATCTGTAAGACTTTCCAAATGTAAGCAGTAGTTTTATTAAAATAAATATGAATAATTTACTGCCATTGTGTGAAGAATATGTAATCATGTAATCCATAAAAAGTGTAATCTGATTATGAGCACTTTAAAATGTAATATAATCTAACTACAAGTACTAAAGCCAGCAGGCACAGGACGTCAATATAATCTCATGTTGACATTGGACATGACATCGGACAGATATTGTATTTTGGTTGAGAATGAAAATCGGGTTGACGTCAGTATTTGACGTTAATTTAATGTTGGATTTTGGTTACACAACCAGCTGACGTCGGTATTGGACATCAAATTAACATTGACATTAGACGTTGTATTGACATTGAGTTTTGGTCACCCGACGTCGCAACTGAAATTTAACCAAATATTGAAGTTTTATGACGTTGTGTGCCTGCTGGGTAACTTTTGGAATCTAAATACGTAATGCAGATTACATGTAATCAGTTACTACCCAGTACTGTCCACTGGTAATGCTGTGGTCTCAGCACTGCATTGAAGTTGTCACAATACTATTTGTATACATCAAAACTGTGCTCTCAATAAAATCAGTTTTCTTGGCAGTTTGTTTTTGAGTCGCTTGACGTATATCGTGAAGCGCAGCACAGATAACTCACGCTTTGACGTGACTCAGCACTCTTTAAGTGATTAAATGTCACTGACGGACAGATCTCTCGCTCCCTCACTCACTTTGTCTTTTATTTCAGGGCCTGTATCAATCAGCACTTAATGAATAACAAGGACTGCTTCTTCTGCAAGGCCACTATCACTGGAGTGGATGATTACACCAAACCGGCCAGCTCTTAGTGCGCCCTTTACACACACACACACACACACACATTTTGTGTTCAAAAATCCACATTATGTACACTTTCACCAAAGACTTCACTTCAAAAACACACATGTTCAGGTTGGACTCTTTGTTTCCACTCCGTCCATGTATGGTCACCATCCCGTCACTGTTGGTTCTGCCAGCGTTGCCCATCTGCACTGGTGTATCATAACATTTTGTCCTCTGACGAATGGAACAAGGCCTTGCAAGGCAATAGCTCTTCCCAGGTGTCTTTGTGATGAATGGATGAGATCCTGTTTAGAGTCGCGTGCTCATGGTGCTTCTGAAGGAGCAGCTGAAAAGCTGAATGTGGAAGATCTGCTGATAGTGATGGAGAGTGTCTCGTCACTGTCTCAATCGCTTCACATGTTGCCCCGGCTCTTTTTGTCATCTGATTTCTGATTTCATCTCCTCTCTGCTCATTTCTATTCTATCCTTTCATCTCATCTATTTTAGTCTTCTCTTTTCTCCGTCTCATGTCTGCCTCTCTAATCTACTCTATTTTCCTGTCACCTTTTAGTCTCTGCCCATTTTGTCTCATCTCCTCGCTTTTGGGTTTGTTTTTTTCTCTCTTTTTCTCTTATTCTTCTATCACATTCTAGTCTCTCCTCATCTCTTCTTTTCTCTCATTAACATGTTTAGTGTCTGCTTTCCTTCTCATGTTTTCATCTCACCTCTTTCTTCTCTTCTTGTCTCGATCTTGTCTCTTCTCGTCTCATTCTTGTCTCTTCTTTTCTTGTCTCATTCTTGTCTCTTCTCGTCTCATTCTTGTCTCTTCTCGTCTCATACTTGTCTCTTCTATTATCTGCTCACCTAATTCTCACCTCATTCTCATCTCTTCTTCTCATTCTTGTCTCTTCTCTTTTTGTCTCATTCTCGTCTCATTCTCATCTCTTCTCATTCTTGTCTCCTTCTTTTGTCTTCTCGTCTCATTCTTGTCTCTTCTTTTCTCGTCTCATTATTGTCTCTTCTTGTCTCATACTTGTCTCTTCTATTATCTGCTCACCTAATTCTCACCTCATTCTCATCTCTTCTTCTCATTCTTGTCTCTTCTCTTTTTGTCTCATTCTCGTCTCATTCTCATCTCTTCTCATTCTTGTCTCCTTCTTTTGTCTTCTCGTCTCATTCTTGTCTCTTCTTTTCTCGTCTCATTATTGTCTCTTCTTGTCTCATACTTGTCTCTTCTATTATCTGCTCACCTAATTCTCACCTCATTCTCATCTCTTCTTCTCATTCTTGTCTCTTCTCTTTTTGTCTCATTCTTGTCTCTTCTTTTCTTGTCTCCTTTTGTCTTCTCGTCTCATTCTTGTCTCTTCTTTTCTTGTCTCATTCTTGTGTCTTCTCGTCTCATTCTTGTCTCTTCTCTTCTCATACTTGTCTCTTCTATTCTCTTCTCATCTAATTCTCACCTCATTCTAGTCTCTTCTATTCTCATTCTTGTCTCTTCTATTCTCTTCTAATCTCATTATTGTCTGTTCTCTTTTTCTCTCATTTTCGTCTCTTTCTCTTCTCTTCTCTTCTCTTCTCTTGTCTTGTCTTGTCTTGTCTTCTCTTCTCGTCTCACAAACTGGTTATATTATCATATCAGGAAGTCAGAGTTAAACTCAGTTCTAATGAACAGTTTTTCACATCACTCTCTGTATTTGCTAATGTTTTTATACTCTATAATGACAGCCATATTTGACATAGATGACAACATGTAGTGTATGTAATAAATGTCTTTTTTTAATTTATAAAGCATCATACAAGATAAAAAAGACGGTTTCGGGACATGGACAGTTTACACGGAGACGTAAATGCAATGTGAGACAGTGATAACAATTCCTGTTTGAGAGAAATCCTTTGATTTCCCACCAACACTTGTTCATTCTGCTCTCTGCTACATTTCTCCATTCGGACAGCTTTCACGTTTGATCTGTCGTTATAATGGTGTGGTGATTGTGAATGTTCTCAAACAAGCCTCAGCTTTCTTCATACCCAGATCTTTCCTTCAGTCTGTTCCATTAGGAGTGCCTAGACTGCTGTTTTTGTTACAGAACACCAACAGACATCTAGATTTAAGTGCTTTGCTGTTGTGTGCATGGGGCTATCTTTCCCAGAATCCTTTGCTAATGGATTATGTTACACTCAGGCTCTGCCTGCACTCAAAATCCATTGCCTTGCCACAGCTCCCTTAAAAGGATATTCAGCCATTGTCCACTGCGATTTTCTACACCAAATAAAAGTCTAGTGGTGCGGCCCAGTTTTAAAACCCACAAAAAATTAGATGGAGTGAGCCAAGACTGGAGGTGGACCGCAGCTTTGACTGTCACAATACAGTACGCAATTGTTAAAACAACTTGTACAGAATTCATCATACGCTTCTTACTAATGCACACAGACTGTTTATTTAACACGCAGACAATTTGCTACCACCGATAAACCACTGAACTTCCAAACACTATAAAACTGATAATAAGTATGAATTATCAAAACCAAAAGAGTATTTGGGTCACTACTTCTCTCATTTGGACTGTTAAAGCATTTCTCACAGTGTGGTGTAATGTTGTTTTTAAAAAGGGGGTGCATGATATGAATGTAGGACCCCCCTCTATAGTTTACTTAAAATGTGTGCGCGCATTTGCGGTGAGCGTGTGCAGACGACTTTAATTTAAGGGTTTCCACTCTCAGGCATCTGCTATTGTTGTCAAAGGGAATTTTAGATTAGTTAAGCAATATTTAAAGGACTGTTGATGTTTTTTTTGTGTTTTTTTTAGAACGAAAGAACATGGCAATTTTTGGTTCTTTCACTTTTGTGAGAGTGTACATGTATTGATGTATTATTAGCATTAAATTATTTATCCTAAATGCTGTCTTGTGTGCTTACTTTGTAGGCACTTTTCAATGTATATATTGGCTTACTAACGTATTTAATTATTAAGCATATATTTAAATATATCCCACATTCATTCAACCCTGTTACTGGATGATTTCCTCTCTGTTTAAAAAAAAAGGAAATTGGAGTATTTCCACATCATGGTGAAAGGTAAGTATAATATAATTTTGTTTTCTCAATTTGTACGTGTTCCAGATAAAAAGGAAAAGAAAAAAGGAGAATAAAAAATTTCACTCATAAATTGCTAGTAAGCTTTACAAACTATTACAAAGAAATGGTACATTATATTTAGTGTAAAATGTTGATGTAGAAAAAAAAACTGAAATAGTATTTCCTGGTAAAAATGTACTCCAATAACCTGTTTTATTTACAACTTTGAAAAATCATTTTTACAGTGTAGTTGACTTCATTCATTGAGCTCAACCATTCAACCCTGTTACCAATGTTATTGTAAGAAAAATGGTTAAACATAAACATTTATTTTCTTTAATTTATGGGTTTTGTTCACCTTAAATAATTAACAATTAGCAGTTTAATTAAAATCTGCAACCGTGTTTCTTACAACCCTGTTACTCATTTGGGCATATTTTTATTTAAGTGCACCATTTAACTTTGGATTTAATTAATATTTGCAATAAATATTTATATATTTTTAAGTTAATATTTTGTTAATATCAATTTTTATACTATTTAAATATGTCCAAAATATCAGCAGCAGGGTTGAAAAATTGCCAGACTTTTTATCAAATCAGTTTTATATTAAAATTTAAAAAGTGTTTTTTTGTATTTAAATGCACCATGTAACCCTGAATGTCATGTATTACAGCGGACTGCTAGAAAATAAAACCAATCTTATCAATGTTTTATACTATTCAGGTATGTCCAAAATATGGGTTGAAAAACAGGGTTTAAAAATAGCCAAACTATTATAAAATCAATGTTATGTTACGAATTTATAAAGATAGAATGAAAAAATAAACATCAATTTGGGTTCATATAATATTTTGTTTGACCTCTTGAGATTGACAAGCAACATTGTTTCATTTATACATTGTTGATAAAAGCAGAAATGTAATTTTTTAAAGAACTGTAAGGCATATTTTGTGTTTAAATGCGCCATTTAACGCTTAAACCTGAATTTCATTCATATTTAATCCAGTATTTATACGTTAAAGTTGACTACTAGAAAATAAAACCAAGCCAAGCAAGCTTACTATTCTATTACTATAAACTATAACTGGGTAACGGGGGGAAAGTTTGCAAAGTCTTATAAAATCTATTTTATATGAAACATTTACGGTATAAATATAGAATGAAAATGAAAATCACTTTGGGATATATATAATTTAATGTAATATTTTGTTTGACTTTCTAAGACTGACGATCTTACTGTAAACAATGTATAAATGAATTTTGTTAAATTTATACATTGTTTATAAAAAGCAAAAATGCACATTTTTAGTTTTAAGACATATTTTGTATTAAAATGAGCAATTTAACTCTGAATTTCATTATTATTTTATCCGATATTTATATTAATTGAAGTTGTTTGCTAGAAAATAAAACAAAGCCAATCAAGGTTTTATACTATTCAAATATGCGTCCAAAATATGGGTAACAGGGTTGACAAATTGCAAAACACTTATAAAAATCAATTTTTGTATTTAAATGCACCATTTAACCCTTAATCCAAAATTATATTATTGTATCTGATATTTATATTAATAAAGTTGATTGCTAGAAAATAAAACCAAGCCAGTCAAGGTTTTATACTATTCAAATATGTACAAAATATGGGTAACAGGGTTGCAAATTTGCAAAACACTTATAAAAATCATTTTTTTTGTATTTAAATGCACAATTTAACGCTTAATCCAAAATTATATTATTTTATCTGATATTTATATTAATAAAGTTGATTGCTAGAAAATAAAACCAAGCCAGTCAAGGTTTTATACTATTCAAATATGTACAAAATATGGGTAACAGGGTTGCAAATTTGCAAAACACTTATAAAAATCAATTTTTTTGTATTTAAATGCACAATTTAACGCTTAATCCAAAATTATATTATTTTATCTGATATTTATATTAATCAAGTTGATTGCTAGAAAATAAAACCAAGCCAGTCAAGGTTTTATACTATTCAAATATGTACAAAATATGGGTAACAGGGTTGAAAAA